CCCGGAGCGGCCCGCTGCCCCGCAGAACCACACGTGAGTCCCGGCTGGGCGCCCCGCGGCGAAGGGTAAGGTGGGGTGGCCGCCGAGCTCTCTTCGGAAGCTGAAAGCGCCTGGCCGCCTCCGGCCAGTCCCTCCAGGCGGCGGCCGGGCCGGGCCGAGCGTGGCGGGAGGACGGCGGGGCGGGTGGCCGCCGAGGGGGCGAGTGGGCGCGGTGGGGAGCGGGTCTTCTTAGGGAGAGGCGTGGCGAGGACCGAGACTTGGGGGTCCCGCTCTGGGGAGCTGGTCCGGATCGCGGTTGTGGACAGACAGGCCAGGCTCAGTTGGGGTGCGCAGGCTAGGAGGACTTCCAGGCACTGCCTGCACCCCCGCGCTGCAAACCAGGCCCTTCCACACCCCGAGGTAACCCCGCCACCCTCGCAAGACTTTCCAACCAGAGCAACTCCAGGATGAAACTTGAATGTTGCAAGGGACGGAAACCTCCACCAACTGTGGGTTTGAGCGTCCTCTTTTAGAAACACAGGTCCTTTTCCCCAGGTGAGCTCAAAGGGGCCTTGAGGCAAACCAAGGCTCCGAGAGGTGAAGTGCTGTCCGGGGCACCCGGAGAATTCGCAAAATCTGAGTTTTCCATACCAGATAGGCTCCCCGCTTGGTTCTGCAGGGTCCCGGTGATACTGAGAACTTTCGGTGACTATGGGGCCACTCTGCCGACTTTCTCTGCTGGTTCTGCCTCCTCCTGCAGAGTTTCCATATATGGCTATTTCAGATTTACTTTCATGAGAACTCAGTTATCTTGCTGTGACAGGCCGAGCTGCCCTGGGCGAGTGTTGAGGTTGGTGAAATGAGGCGAGTCTCCTTGCCCGGGCTGCCCTACTCCCCGCCATTCCCACCCCTCACTCCACCCCACCCCATCCACAGCCTGGGCCTGGCCCACTCCTGTGAGGACAGGCGTCTAGTAATTTAATTCAGTAAATATTTATTGAGCAGGTGCTGAGTGAGAACTGGGCCTGGGCCAATGGAATGTGGTTCCTTCCTGTAGAGATATTTGCATCTTAAAAAGGTTCTGGAAGACATAAATGTGAAGAAATTAGTTGACGTACTTCTGGAAATAGAACAGTTCGGGTGTGTGTGAGATAATTTTAGGTAGCAAAAGGCTGTGCTAGGGCCTCTCAAATCCCAGTGCAGCTGCTTGCTTTTCCTTACATACATACAAAGCTGAAAACAGGGGTGTTAACATAATTGATGGTTTGGGTGAGAACCTGATCATCTAAACACTCCCACCCTAACTCTAATTTTTTTTTTCCAACAGGTAAAAAGACTTGTTTTAATGCTTAATTTAACCTGGACTCAGTATCTTGTATTCAGTAGACACTCCTTAAATGCTTGTTTAAGCAAATGTCTTTTTAAAAATCTTTCTATTATTGTTATTATTTTTTTAGTTATAAAGATGTGGGATACAATTCAGGGTTAGGTATACAAACATTGATTATGCAGGTACCCTTGTTGATGAGGTATGCCCCTCCCCCCCAGCAGTTTCTCTCAACTGCTAATCCCACCCCCGCTCCCTGACAGTTTCCCATTACTGCCAAACATTTTCTTATAGTATTATAATTGTTCA